AGAAATTGAATTTCTTAGTATATAAATCGAGGTACAATATAATTAGTTATAGAAGAAAAGATAATCTATTATATTGAAATTTTTTCAAAAAAAAATTCAGCTTTTTTTTTACGTAAAAAAAAAGTGAATATAATAGACTATAAACAAATAATCAATTATATTTTTATAATCACTTATATTTTTAAAATCATTAATGTCTTTAAAATAATTAATTATATCACAAATATAATGATTACTTTTCTTTTCATATATAATCAATTATATTATGCCTTAATTTACATGCCAATAAATTAAATTTCTTAAACCAAACCATGTGTAATATTAATCAGCTTCTTTAGATTATTTTTTTTGAAGAAGTAACCAACCAAACAAACTCATAACATATTCAAGCCAGTCACAGGTCTTGGTCTTAAGATTCTAAACTTGTAAGAATCAACCCAAAAGAGACTTAAACCAAAAAAATTTTGATGTAACGCAAACCTAAAATTTAAAATTTCAAAACCTTGATTTCATCACCATCACCATAGCAAGGTTTCATTGATAAGATAAAATGAGGTGTTTTTTCGAAGTGGGAAAATTAGGTGAGCATCGCATTTTCTCCACTAGCCTACTCGCATTTTGTCATGTCCAAATTAACCAAATTTGGAAAACTTAAAATAAGCTTAGATCCCAGATTCCACCATCAGTCATCATTATCATTGTCCTAATCTAAGATTAATTAATTCCCTAACTTGTAATTATGAAAGCAACCAATATATAATTAGCAAGTACAGATTGTCGTCATTCTTGATCTTCCCAACAGTTTCTGAAGATTGTACAAAAAAAATAAGCCCAAATTTCAGTCCTGACAACCACGTCTAGCATCGCATGGAATGTTAATTATAATCAAAAGGAGTTGTTAATTACTCACCTTCTGATCCAATAAATAGTTTATTCAGACCATTAGCCCGAGAAGGTCTTTCGTATAATTTTAGTTAATGATAATTTGATATATTATTAAAATATAAATATTAATAAAAATAAATATGTTTTTTATATTAACTATTATTGTTTGGTTATATTTGTGCCGCGATACAGACTTTTTGCATCAGGCCAGAAGGGCTCAAAAATTTTCATCCAACAAGAAAAACAGAAATGGCAGAAAATGAGATTCCTGAAGTTGTTTCGTTGTGAAATTATGTAACACGAAGTGATGGTGAAAAAGTAGAAGCTTGAAAACCACACCCTGTACCGTGGACTGTCAAAATAGAAAAATTTGACAATTCCTTTGTTTTCTTGCCCCTCGTCATTCAGTGTAGGACCAAACAACATCCCCCCTTGGCTCAGCCTTTTTCAGCAACCCCAATGGACCCACCGCCCCATACGGTTGCTCCTCCTCTCACCGGCAACGCGTGCTTCTGCTCACTCTCTCTTCCCCCTCTCTTTAGGTTTTCGTTTTTCAACTTTTGTTTTTTAGTATTCTATATTTAAAAATCATATTAAAATTTATTTAATTTAAAAGTGATTTAAGTTAGATCATTTAAAAAGAAACTTTTTTTAATGTTTATATTTTATTATAAAATTTAAATTTAATATTTTATTTATAAGATACCAAACTCATTCCACTTAAATTAACAGTTCATGTAAATTCCTTTTAACTTTTCTTGTAATGCATAATCCATTATTCACCAAACGGATCGAGAGAGAATACAACATGTACGCATGTGATCATCTTTTTTTCTTGATAAGCATGAGACATGAATTCTAATTTTTGGTTTTTTTTTTCTGCATTTTTTTAATATTTTATTCTGATTATAAATATTCCTTAGAATCAAATCCAACTCATTTCCTTCCACACAAAAAAAAAAAAAAAAAAATTCCATTTCATCTCCATTTTCATGGTCCAGGATCATTCTCTGGAGTCTATACTTTTTCTTACATAAAATTGGAAATTTGAGATATAATTGTATAAAACATAACTCAAATTTAAAATTTTTTGTTTAGAAAAAAGGAAAACTACCACTACTCACTTAAAGTTGCGCTACTCTAAAATTCTCTTATGTGTGACTTCGGATGGAAGTACATTTTTCCCTTAGGATGGAACATCTGATGTTTGAATTGATCTCTCAACAAAACAATCCTCTTTCACATGGCCAATTTAACGACTATATATTATATTCATTGTGTTAGGTCTTCCTTGTTCTGAGTGGACATATGAAGAACTAACAACTCATATATGCATCTATTTAGTTCAAGATTTCCTTCTTTTTTATTTTATTAGGGTATAAGATAAATCAAGCATCAAGATTTAGTTTTTTAAAGTGTTGGATTGATTTTGAGATCCTGTGGCCAGTCTCAACTCTTGGACTGTTTCCAGATGGTACCCACCAATCGTACTGTAGGGATCTAATTGTCGGCGGGCCAGAGGTGCCACCTTAAGCTCCTTCATATTAGTTCCCCACCATGGAAAGAAAAAATGTATTCCATTATATAATTGAGACAACTGTTTCCCTTGGATATTCAATTCTTGGGTGCATGTGATTCACCTCGGCAGGCTACTCTGTTTTGTTGTTGATTGTCTGCAGCAGTGTAAGCTCCTTCTGATCCTCATCAATCATTTTAATTTAAATTCAAATATTTACAGGTGCCATATTTGTTTTTAAACTGGGTGTTATTATTATATAGCTAATTTAATATTTATGCATTGCTGGACCTGTCTGAGGCATCTCTTTCACAGAGCTTGAATGGCATTGGTTGCAGCACTGGGATTTGTTTGGCATGCCTCAAACCCCAGATGCAACAACACTTAGGTTTCTGTGTGAAAGGAGAGAGAAATCTTAAATTCTTTTCCAGGTTTATTTTATTCCTAATTTTGCAGTATATACTGAAGGGAAAATGTGAGGGCAAGGTCTTTTTCTCTATGAAACCAAGCTGTGTGTGGCGTCAGTTTGGGTTTGAGGAAACTGTTTGCCATCTCTTTGTTCTTTTTCCTGAAAGAGTTTCCTTTTCCTTTCTCCTGCTTCTCCTACCATTTAGCAAAATAAGCTGTGATCTTCTAAGGCTCTGCCATCAGTCTTACAGGTCAGAATATGCCTTTTCTAACTACCTTTTTCTCATGCATGAAATCATTCTGGGAAAGATATACAGTTTGGCTAGGAATTTGCATGTATAGACTTGGTTTTATACAGTTCAGATGTTGCTGATGCATCTGTGTTTCCGGAATCGAAATTCTAACAATTTCACCTTAAAGGGTTCTGTTCTTTATGTTTTTTCACTCAAACTTGAATGACTTTCATGTCTGCATGAGTTTCTTCCTTTAAAAGAATGGATTCTCCAAGGTTTTCTTTTTATTTTCCCTCTTGTTGACTTTCCCTTTGAAGAAACCTTTTTTTTTTTTTACTTTTTAACTCACAGATTTTCAATATCAATATCTACAAATTAAGAGCAAATTAAATCTTCTTACCATTAATGAATTACCAAAGCCATCTTGATGTATCAAAATTAAGAGAGAAGTAGAAAAGGAAGGAAGAAGGGAATAGAGTAGCATTAATTGATTATGGATGGAGGGAGTTGGAAATGGGTGGAACAGCATGGAAGCTGGTACACATAATGTGTACTGTAGCCTGAAATACATAATCCTAGATATTTTGCTTGTGGGAACTTATTATTGTGGCCCAGAATCATGTGAACAACCAGACAAAGTAATTGGAAGTTATCATAATTTCCTATTTGTGTTGGACCCGTTATTGCATTCATTCACCTTTCCTTTTCAATTGTAGATAAAACAATTCATCACCAGTCAAATGTTTTATCTCAGCTGTTAATCTTTGCCGCAGCTTTGGTCTTTTTTACAGGTAGAGAAGGTGATTCAAGCATATAATGTGATCCGAACTTGTTAGATCTGGCAAAATTCTTAGGAAAGAAGGATATCAACAAAAGAACAATATTCCTGTCTGTTACATAAATAGAGGTTCGATGGAGAAGCTTCTGAGGTCATATGACAGGGAGTGCATGAGGATGGCTATGTTAAAACATGAAGAAACATTCAAAGAGCAGGTATAACTTTAATAGTTTGTTTCTCAATGCATAATTCTTTCAATTTCTGTATATTAATGTTCAAGTTCATGATATCTTAAGCTCAAAATGATGTTGCAGGTTTATGAGCTTCATCGTCTGTATAGAATTCAGAAGATATTGATGAAAAGCATCGAAAGCAATAGGCCTAATGGACTTGGCCAGGGGTCATGGAATTCAGACTTGAGACTGAACAATCTCCATGATCATTTGCAACAGAATGTGAGGACAAGACTTGACTTGGAACGCCCAGCTGAAGAATATATTGCAGAATCAGATTGCAACAGAATGTTAGAAATGATAGATGAGAGTGAGATCGAGCTGACTTTGGGGCCTGCAAGTTACTATGGAAGAAAGAAACCAGCAACACCTCATACTTCAGATTCCGGGCCAAGCTTCTCCTCTTCCTCCACAGAATCCAGCCATGTAAACAGGACAAACTGCACGACACATAGGAAGACAAATTCAACAGCAGAACAGTTAAGTGGCCGCGAGTTGGGGCTTCGTCAGGGAACTGACATGACATTGGGGTACCAAAGTGGAAGTAAAATCAGTATTGATATTGAAGAACAATTAAGACAGGAGAGACTAAAACAACCTCCTTGGCTTTTCCAAGTTGTAAGCCTGAACATGACTTGAAAGAGAAACAAAAAAATATCTCCCAAGTCCTATAATTAGATTCTTAGACTGCTCCTTAATTTCTGATTGACTAATGTGATTGGTGATGCTTTGTGTGGAATTTTCTTCCTAGACTTTAGCTGTGGCCATCAAATCCTCCTGTAAAAATTATTCTGTATTCCCTTTCTTGCAAAAACCAGTAAAATTACAGATTGACTTTGTGTTTTAGTTGAGATTCCAAATCAACCAATCTTCTTTAGTCCCACATTTACAAGCAGATCTTTTTATTGTTCAACAAAAATATTCGCATCTTTGAAGGTATATATAAATTAATTTCAAAGAGGATATCTAATTTAAACAATGTAAAATTTTATTAAGATTAAGTGGAAGCAGATAACAAGACAATATTTCTTAAGTTTCAGTAATGCTTTTGAAGATCTTCAAAGCAAAGAAGAGAAGAGTCATATCATATATTTATGCTCACGGAAAGAGTTTACTAACAAAGATTTTCCGCCATTTTTGCCGTGTCTTAAACTTCTTCTTCCAGACAGACAATGAAACTTTACATTTTTTGTGCCATCAGATGGACACTGGAAGAACCAGGTGTGTCTGAAACAATAATGTCGAACTTGAAGTAGTTTGGAAAACAACAGCCTAATGAAAGTTTGGCTAGGACAAGTTGCGTCCTGCTTGCTAGCCTGTCCCTTGAGAGCTATCTCTGCTTTTCTTAAAGTTCCTTATCCTGAAAGGATTCAATAATTCACATACAGACCCCACAATCCCTAATTCCCTAGTTCCAGGACAAAATGTCAAGTTCTAGATTTTTCAACCCACTTGCAGGTCTTATTAATGAGATGGCTGATATGGGTTTAAATCTTGACTTTTGAAAAGAACTAATTAATCTTCAAAGAGCCAAACTTTTTCTTGTGTGCCCTTTGTCCTCAAGGCCAACCATCAGATATTACGTACTCTTGAATGCTAAACTCCTTCAAATACTCTCCATTGAAGTCGCAATGGTTAAAAACTTAAAACTTTGAATTTTAAGACATGTGTGGAGGGATTTAGGAAAGAGGAGGGTAGATGTACCAAAAGAAACCTTTAAAGTATACATGATAGTAGATTACACGTATGTTTGGTGTGGTTAGAGCTTTTAATGGAAGTTCAATGGAAAAGAAATTATTGTAAAAGTGTTGTTTTTCTAAATAGAAAGAAAAATAAGGATAAAATAATAATAATGTGTTAATTTCATTAAAATTTGAATGAGGAGTTCTTGCAGAAGCACCAATTCGGTGTTCTTGAGATTTGCAATGAAATTAACAAAAAACTAACTTGTAAGAAGTTGTAGCATTTTTTTACAAATTATAGTGTTTGATGCAGCGAGCTTTTAAAGTCTAAAAGGACTTCCCAGCAACTGGTACCAAACATACCCTAATTCTCCTAGTATCCACAGGATGTTTCTATTCAATTGTTTTCTCAAGACAAGGAGTGGGCTTGTTCAATGCAGAGAAATACCAATCCGTAGCCACAAACTCCATGATTACTGATTGCTATCACCAGTCTTATAGTAATGTGTCTTCTCAAAGACATAGTGTTATTCACAACAATATCACACACAAAAAGGAAACTAATTTAGAGGGGAGCAGTGAGAGAGGCACTCCTACCAAATCAAAGAAGAGCAGAAAAAGAACAGATTTCAGCTTGAAGTTTTCTCTAGACTTAAATCAATGCAGATACAAACTCTGCACAATGTAGTGATAGAGAAGCAAACCAATGTATCAAGATATGGAGTGCCTCCAATTCTTACTTGGTCTTGTCCGACTTTTGGCACTGGAAGGTGACACTCCATCTGCACGTGCAAAAGGATAAAGCCGCCCAAGTTTCTTAGAAACAGAATTTATAAATGACGTTCTTCGAGGCAAAGGAGGCTTATTAGATGAACGCGGAGTACTTCCCATAGGACTGCTCACTGCTGATTTAATTGTCAACCGTTCAATTTCTTTCAATTTCATTTTCATCTTTGCTAGCTCTAGTTTTAGATCCTCATTCTCTCTTCTTAAGATGGATAGTTCATCTGAAACTGGGTAGATGCCTGAGGGGTATAAGTTCCCTTTGGAAGAAATGGTAGGGGAGTCTCCACTTGTAAGACTTCCATTCATGGCATCTCGAAGGCGTTGTTGCTCATAGTAAAGTACTTGGACCACTGTTTGGACAGGAAGCCGATCATTTTGGGCAGCATGAGCACAGGCTTCCCTAGAGAGTTTCTGACAGTCCATGAAGCTGCAAACTTTCTTCCTCTCTATGTCACTTAGAGTTGGATGAGCCTGTGATTAATTGTTAGATATGAATTGAAAGAGAACTCTCAAAAAAGGAATCTATTAAGATACAAGAGAAGAAAACACGACCTCTATTTATAGATTGCAATTCAATAGCAGTATCAGTTTCAGTAGTGGATCCAAATGATCTTAAACTGACAATTCCATAGAAACATTTATTTTAATCATGTATCTTGTATTAGAATAGGTCAAAATGATCATTGTCTATATATATTCAAGTCTCAGAGTGGTTATTCAAAATGTAAAAAGAAGCTTCCCTAAAAGATTAGAGAACATGTTGCCCAGTATATAGAGCAAATTGCAGGCTGATCATCAATTTCCATGGAAATTGGTACATTCATGATACGCATTTGCATTTTGAGAAAAGGATAGATATGACTTGCGATGAGTAAAGAATGATTGAAAGAAAACAAATGCGGAAGTTCAGGAAAAATACAGAAAAGGAGCATACCTTGAGGTAGATATCAATGGCTCTATACATCCCATCCTCTGTTACCCTTGATTGTTCAGGAATGAGTTCAGCAAGACCAATGAACCTTGAAATAGAAAGATTCCGATCAGAGGCTATTTCAGCTAGATAGTTCTCCATTAGCCTTCCTACTCGTTCCATGTCACTGCATAGAGAAATGTACTCATCATCTGTTTTGTATCCCAAATGGTTTCCTTCTGTCTCGTGTTCAATGTAATTCATCATGATCCGCTGCACAGTATCCACATCAAACAATGTGTCCCCAGTGAAAGAATAGGAAGGAATCAAGAGATCATCCAGAACAGCCTGTCCTAATTGCAAGGCCATTCTCTTCTCCAAATCAAGGCGGCAAGCAACGGTGGTTTCAAGGTATATTGCTGCACGGAGCAGCATAGAAAGGAAGCTAACAGACATCGCATTTCTTTCCCTTGGCAGAAGGCTCACGATTGTTTCTAAAATAACCCTCTTCTCATGTTCTTCACTTGGCTCAATTTTCTTCCTCCCCTTTCCAAATGTTTCCTGCACCATAAACGCAAAAAGGAGTTTGCCTTTTAGGTTTAAAAAAAAAAAGAAGAAGAAGAAAAAAAAAAAAAAAAAAAAAAAAACTACAAGACAGAAATAGGCTAATTTTCTTGATGTAGAATCTCACCAAACCTCTAAGAGATTTCTGTGCATAAAGCATCAGTATTGGACCAAGAGCATATTGTTTAAACCCTCTTGACATCATTGCAATCAGAACCCTTTGGAAGATGTCAATCCTGAGAACAGTTAAATCTTCAGCCCACCAATCAACTATAGGTTTTGGGTGAGAAACTGAAGAAATTGACACATCAAAGCCACTCTCAGCCCTTCCAGATGTACAAAACTGGCTCTCTTTGCAGGCCATATACGCTATGGCATCTATGGACCTGCTGACTAGTTTAACTTTCTCTGCAATTGGAAGGAGATTTTCGGACATGTGTAAAACAGTAATTGCTCCTGCAAGGCTCTTGAGCGCCACTTCATTTAAGTAGGCTTCAGTTCTTTCCATAAGGTTTCCAACTGCATAGTCCTCAGTCATCTCAAGATACTCTGCCACACACCGGAGCATGGTGATGTTTTCTGTGCTAATCTCGAAATTTATTCCATAACAGAATTTGGCTGCAAGCTCAAATGCTTCTGCCCCTCCTGGAATGTCCGGAATTTCAATGGTAGACAGATCAGCATCACTTGATTCTGATACTAGTTTCCTTACGTATCCACATTTTGAGACTAATGGAAACTGCAGTTCAATTAGATTCAACCAATAACAAAACTACAGTCAGATGCTAGACTCTTGTTGCTTCTCTATGTTGGACGCAGTTTACAAATACATGGAAAATGCAAATAAAAGATCTTATGAAATTTATACTTTGTGGTTTCCGTATGGATAACTGATATGTATCCTATTTCATGGAGGTTCAGAAAAAAAGGAAAAGAAAAGAAAAAGAAAGGTTTAATTCTAAACATCATACCTATTATTGTTAAGATAAAATCATATGTTGAAAATGGAAATATAGGAACTGAAATGGAATTCTACCTTATGCAGTGAAAAAGAAGCTCCTCTAACATGAATAGTAACATCACTGGGAATCTCCTGAGAGAAAATCCTGAAAGCATTCAAGTGAGCAGCTAGTTTACAACATAGGAATGGAGTACAAAGAATTCCTAGTTATACAAAAGACCGGAAACAGACCATTCACTAGTTCTCTTCATAGCTGTTGACAGAAGCTCCTTCTTTTCAGAGGACAGGTGAACTGTGGCTGCTGCAGTTTCCTTCTGATCAAGATCCATCATGGCAGAGTTCCGGAGGACTTTTGTCATGATTATGTCAGACCAGGGATGATGAGGAAAGGGTAGATAAAGTTTAGAGACATTTCACCACTTCCTCGACCTTCTTTTCTACTTAACCTTTTTTCTAGATTCTGAATAAGAAGCCGAACTTGAAAAAGCATTCAACGTTCAAGCTCAAGCTATTATTTCTAATAACTGGATTATCCATCCATCTTTAACATTACAAACAACCATCAGAATTGTTAACTACCGAAATTAGGCTTCCAAGACTAAAGGGTAATCTACAAGGTGTACAATGTTTTGAACTTTGAAATGAATGGCATTTTGGGTATTAGCGGAAAGAAGAGGGTACAATAAAAGAAGATAGATGGAGTTATTAGTATGTGGTGTGGGGTTTAGGAAGTTTGATAGAAGAGATGAGATGGCTACATGTTCCTTGGCAGCTAGAGGCAGAGGTTTGCACATGTGAAATACTCCTGTCCACAAAAGTATTCATCTTTATTTCTCAGTGATTTTCGTAACAGAATGAGTGCAACATCCAAAATCTCTAAATGGAATTAGGGAGGTAAGGTAGTAGTTACCAAATCATTAGTTCAAGAGAGATTGTGCCATAATTTCTAGCAGCTATATCCTCACCATTGTTATGAATTTTAGAGTTCAAATTCCAATATTATGCACGGCTGAGGCTTCCTTTCTACCACCCTCTTGGCTTTGCTAAAGTGATTAGTAACTTATAAGCTAATTGCAGGTCATTGATCCAGCAGCTGGGGCAGGTATGTATGTATTAGACGTGCCTATAGAGAAGCCAATGAAGTTGCCGACTCACTTGCCAAGATTGCTACAACAACAGAGTAACACCTTTCCATTTTTGATTTTGTTGCTGTTTTCTGAATGGCTAAGTTCACCCATGATAGGGCTGGAACTTTAGTGTTTCTGACAATGGTCTGCAAAACTCAAGTTGTTTCAATGTTATTTCCCTTTTGATCAAAAAACTTATATGCTAATTTGGGAGAAAAATGAGTAACGTCTCATAGACCCCGCTCCTTAGTCCTACCATTATGAAGGCAGAAGACGGTTAGATTTCTATTGTTTAATTATTATTATTAGACAGTTGCAGTCTTGCAGGAAGAAGAGAGTTCCATTGGATTTATTTTAACAATAAATGGTGTTCCTAAAATTAGAGGGACAATTTACTGTAGTACCTGTCAATGGTCTCCCTGTATGATGCCCCTTCATGTCTTGCATATTAGGGTCCCTTCCAATTGTTGATGCTTTAGTGAACAGAAAATTCATCAGTTCCTCTCAAATCCATATATATGACCTCACAGCTCACTGGTCCCATCAAATTGGACAGACTCTCTCTAATTCCAAGCATGGTCCCAATGCCCCCCAAGTGCTCAGGATCTATATCAAACCATCTCCACCTGATTTCCAAAACTCTAAAAAATGAATTTTACAAGATAAACCTGTCGAATACCCAATTACAAGGTAAACAGGATTTCAGAGATTTATTATTGAATTAAACAGGTAATCTTATCCTGCAATGGTACTGAAAAGGAGACAGACTGGACATGAAAAAGGGTTTAAACATATAATGGAATTCCTCTGAACATGTTACAGCTTGTGTTGTGGGGGAAACCAAAGGGTAGCAGGAGTTAATAAGAGAAAATTTTCAACTCAAACATGGGTTTGGTTCACACTCCGTGTTATGAGAAAAATTCACCATCAGAAAAGAGGAAAAAACGAAGTCATTGTCTCAACAAGTAGTTTGCATTATCTAGTAACCGTTGGTACTCACGAAATGTTATAATCTGAGAATTTACGACGAGCCCCACAATGAAGACAATGGTAAAAGAGGGCCCTTGAATTGGGGAATCCTCCTGAACTGAGTTGCGATTCATTAATGAAACAAACATGTAAACAAGAGGGCAGTAGAGCAGAAATGACCCACCACTCCATTACTTAGGACCCGTTACTTGAAATCCCAGCCACAGAATATGATAAACAAATTGAAGAAAAAGAACCATCTCAAATTAAAGGGTCTGGTTACATTGATACAAGGCCTTCTTAAAATTTTATTTTATTTTTTTATGAGAAAGATAATTTTATTAATAAATAAAAATCATAAAATTATATAACCAATCTGAATAGGTAATAAGTAAAGAGGTATTACACTTATAAA